ATCAGTCGACCCGCCTTCACTTGTATAGAGCTCTAAACCGTTCTAACCTTGATTATGGTTCGATCGTCTATGGTGGAGCCTGCAAAAGTAATTTAAAACTATTAGATTCTGTCCACCACCAAGGTCTAAGACTTTGTCTCTACTTTGAGGCCGATAAGCCATCTTAAAACTTCGCCGTATCAAATTGTCTTTACAATATGTCTAATGAATCCAATCCTGCCCACAACTGCGTTTTCAATCCTCTTTATGAGGATTTGTATAATTAAAAAACTTCACTTGTTCCACCTCTTGGGATAAGAATCCAACAATATATTTCTGCTGCTGGCATTGAGTTTGAGAATATATCTCTTTCCCGTCTTCTTTCTTCTCCTCCTTGGCAATTAGTGAGGCCACAAGTTGGCCTAACACTGACAAAGTTTAAAAAATCAAAAACTAACGAATTACAATATAAACAAGAATATAATCAATTGAAAAGTAAATATAATACATACACCATAGAGCGTCCGCCCGGAGATCGGAAGGTCGCGGGTTCGATCCCCGACCGCGTCATACCAAAAGACGTTAAAATATGGTACTTGTTGGTCCCTGCCTGGCGCTCGGCGTTAATGGGTACAACAAGGACTGGTCGGCTCGGAGTCAGTATAATGTGTCTGAGTGGGGTATTCATGCTTCACTGCGGCATGGTATCTCAGTGGGCTAGCACTATAAAACCAGCTTCTGTCTGGGCTAGTACAAGCAGCCGCACATACACATACACACGCATGCAGGTCGTCATATAAGCGAAATATTCTCAAGCACCACGTAAAACCCAATTTCACCTCACATGCACGTCCTTATTTACAGATGGATCCAAGGATGGTGGCACAGTTGCGGGGGCCACTGTCGTTGGATCAAGAACAATATTTTCTCGTCTACCGAATAATAGCTCTGTTTTTACAGCAGAAGCAAACGCAATACTAACAGCTCTTAAATATATTAATAGACACCCCAAATTTAAACAATACATAATCTTTTCAAACTCTCTTTCGTGTCTTCAGGCTACTAAAAATCCTTCTTGCATACATCCACTTTATTAGAAATTATTGAATTGTATAATGATCTTGCTACTTGCCAATACGACATTGTCCTTTGTTGGTTACCCAGCCACGTTGGTATTTCTGGTAACACAATGGCCGATCTTGCTGCTAAGGCAGCACTTAACAAATCTGTGACACCACTTCTTATCCCAGCAAATCTTATTACAAAGTTTAACATCTGAACATACATCCGTGATCTGATGCAGAAGAAGTGGGACACCCAAGTAGGTATCAATAAATTACATGAAATAAAACCCAATATCGGTTACACCTACTTGGGTTGTCAGTCCAGATTTGAAGAAGTCATCATACGACGATGTCGTATGGGCCACACAAGATATACTCATGCATACCTATTGAAAGGTGAGGATCCTCCGTTTTGTATGCCTTGTGAGGAGAGAACCACGGTCAAGCATGTCCTGCTTTACTGTGTTGAATTCTCTTCATAAGGGATAAATATTTCAATATGAAAACCTTTTTAATAAAGTTAGTTATCATTTTATCATTGATTTTTTAAAAGAGATAGATTTGTTAAATGAATTTATATATGTATTGTAAATAGATAAACATTTATAATTGGTAGTTTAGATTATCAACTTAGATTGTTAGTGGCTGTATCCTCAAAGGGGGTTGAAGCAGCGTAAAAGTATTGTCCTCCTAAGAGGGTACGTAAGTCCCAAAAACTTTCACAGTAAAATTTTCACGTACCAAGTTTTTACACGTAGTATTTTTGTTCTTTTGATTTCGGCTAAAGCATCCTACAATCGCCAGCGGCTGAAGGGATGGTGTAAATCAAGCTTGGCTCCATGCAGGTAGCAAAAGTAATGTAAGTCCCCATGCTTCCTAGAATGGTGATCTACCTTCAGATGCTGGCGATCTATAGCCCGTGTTTTATATTGTATTGTCTTCTTTAATTACACTGTTAAGTTTTACATGCTAGTTTAATGTTCAAATCTGTGATACTCTAGTATTTTTACTGTCCATCGTCGACAGGTTTAACTCGTCAAAGTGTTTTCATTTTTGTATTCTATAAATTGTTTTCGTCACGATACGTCACGATATTGCCGATGTGACATTAAATATTAACTCACTAACTCGCTCACTCACTATTGTCATCACAATAATTTGTCAATTCGTGAAAACGATTAAATCACTTTTTAAACTCTTGAAATTACTTCATGACCTATATCTAGTCTATTTGATTAAGAAACATTCGTATAATAAAAGGAAATGTGTTCTTGATTCACAGCTTGCTGAATGTCATTGAATATCTCTGATAGAATCTGTCAACCCACTTGTGCATCATATCAGATGGGTATATTGTATTCTTGATTCACGGCTTGCTGAATGTCATTGAATATCTCTGATAGAATCTGTCAACCTACTTGTGCATCATACCAGATGGGTATATTGTATTCTTGATTCACAGCTTGCTGAATGTCATTGAATATCTCTGATAGAATCTGTCAACCTACTTGTGCATTATATCAGATGGGTATATTGTATTGTTGATTCACAGCTTGCTGAATGTCATTGAATATTTCTGATAGAATCTGTCAACCTACTTGTGCATCATATCAGATGGGTATATTGTATTCTTGATTCATGGCTTGCTGAATGTCATTGCATATCTCTGCTAGAATCTGTCAACTTACTTGTGCATCATATCAGATGGGTATATTGTATTCTTGATTCACGGCTTGCTGAATGTCATTGAATATCTCTGATAGAATCTGTCAACCCACTTGTGCATTATATCAGATGGGTATATCTGAGTAATCGTTACACGAAACAGCAAACTTGACCATGTCACTCCTTTGTTTTAGGGGCGGTGGGGTAGCCTAGTAGTTCGCTCGTCACACCGGGCTCGGGTACAATGTGTGCTGTCTCCCGCCGTGATGTTGCTGGAATATTGCTAAAAGTGGCATAACACCACACTCACTCACCTCACAAAACTGGCCCCCACTAATGCCGTAGATGGGACTGCTAAAACATTTAGTCTCCTCGGGTAACTTCCAGTGACTCATTTACAAGCATTACAAATGTTCGCTGAAGATGGAGGACATCTTTCATTCGAATCTATGTCTTTATCGTATTTCTTCATGTGACACAAAATTGCAAAATCTGTTGCAGACTGATCCGGAATTCAAGTGCAACGTTACAGCTAAAACATACTTCACAAAACCACTTTAAGGCATTTCGGAAGAAAGTAAGACAAAACCTCGCCAAGTGTACTTTGGGGGATTGATATATGTTGGAGATAAAAGGTATCAATAGAAATGTTCCAAGTCACTCCACCCTCTGCATTAACATAAAGTTAATGGAAGAATGAGTGAATTGAAGTCGCTTCTACGGCGTGACGAGCAGACTCTTTAACCACGAGGCTATCCCAATTAATCGCAAATGATACACCCCAATTCTAATAGTCTTGGGGCGGTGGGGTAGCCTAATGGTTAAAGCGTTGGCCATTGAAAGAAATTGAAACGATGACTCCAGCAACCATTGTTGATAAGTCTTCAACCATTAAATGCCCGCAGTAGCCTAGAGAGTATAGTTCGTGATCGCTTCGAAGCATTTGGCCAAACCACAAACATTTTCTGCTAAATCAGAAAAAAACTAATGTTAAAGAATTTCAAATTTGCAAACAATTTAATTGATGTCTTGAATTGAATTACCTTCCCAAAATGTGCAAAATAGTTTATTTTTCAGGAAATACCATCGATTTCATTTCATTTTCCTCTGCGAACACAATTTCATCCAGGTGTGCAATTATAGAATCGTGATGCAGAACAATAGACCATTTAACGACTGTATAGGAAGCATATGCCTTTGAATCAGTAGCAAATTGTAATAAAATCAGGCGTTTGTGACGGGTGAGCGCTTCTCGTCCCATCGGTAGCATTCGTTACAAACACATGCCAAAGCAGGTCAATGTGTGTCCGACTCCGAATCACTCCGAAATAGCATCACACATGGGTTTGTTTCTGATACTTCAAATTTACTTCAAAGTTTATGAGATACGTAAGTCCAAAAATGTTAAATTTAAAAAACAAAAAACTTACCAGATTATTAAATGCAGTATTTTTGTTATTTTAAACAGTTGGCTAAACTTGTCCTACAATCGCCAGCGGCTGAAGGGATGATGTAAATCCAGCTAGGGTCCATGGCAGGTAGCAAAGGTACTGTAAGTCCCCATCGTCCCAAGTATGGTGATCTCCCTTCAGTTGTTGGCGATCTATAGCCTGTTTATATTGTATTGTCTAAATAGTGCTACCAGTTTTAACTTTCCACACTAGTTTTAGTTGTAACTGTGATATTCTAGTTGTTTTACTGTCCTTTGTCGACAGGTTTATATTTTATACATATATTCCATTTCAATGTCAAATATGTTCTCGTCACGATATGGCTGAAATGTTGCCGATGTGACGTTAATATTAACTCACTCACTCACTCACTCTCTCAAAGTTTATGAAGACCACATGTTATGGGACAGGACTAGAAACACTCAGGAGTCAAGCTGCCAAACACGGTCACCCGCCCAGGGACTGTCCATGAGCAACGTTGCTTACCTTCAACTGATTTGTGACCTGTGCTCTGTGCATACTTCATTAATAATTAAATGTCTTCAATACGTGTCTTTGACCGTTTGGATCCAACAAAACGAAAAGCGTCTGCTCACATTTATTCTAAGTGACATTAACAAATCTGGGCTTTCGGACTTGATTTCTCTGGATACCAGGGTTATAAAAACGGCAAATGACATCTGTATATTTGTAAAGGTCCTATCGTGGACGCCGTATTGGAATGTTTACGGTTTTTTCGTGGATTGGCGTTATGACCTACAAGTGTCGCTTTAGGAACAGGTGTCATTTCCCACCTTAACTATCGTCTTATAACACGGTCAGTTGTGTGTCTGATCTGGGACGAAATGCTTCTGTATTTTTTTCTGGTATCATGTGGTGTATTTGCTTGTGGCAGTTGTAAAACTGTACACATCTATGTCAGCCCAGCTGGTTCGGATTCAAATTCAGGGTTTGTACTGAAGTACCTGGGTGGTGGATTTGTGCATTTGCGATGAAGCGATACATTAGCCTAAGGTTATATGTAGCGATTAACTCGTACCGTGTACGTAAATGAAGTACTGTCAGTCCTTCTGGTCCTCCTAGACATTTCCTAGTCTCGATATACTTAAAAACCACACAACCGCGGCGATGTGAAAACCTAACATTTGGCCATGTGCCTCGCTTGGACTATTGCCTTGTATTGTACAGAAGGGCGACAGTTTTCAGTGTAATATATGTCGCATTGTCGACCCATTGTAAAGGTGTCCAAACTGCGACAACGTCCCTTAATGTCTTTTTTACGATTCCATCCTGCCGATGTAACAAGGCATTATTATTCAGTCACTCACATACTGCCTTTGCCAAATACGTTTTTAACACTAGGGACTAAAATATTCTTGTTTTCTCTACCAAAGGCTGGAGCTGGGACACCCTATAGAGACACTTGAAAAGGCAAAGGCAAAACTAGACGAGCCTGGAATAACCGGAAACAGTAAGTAAGAACTGTACCAAGTGAGTTAGTGAGTTTGGTTTAATGTCGCTTGACCAATACTTCTCTTGTATCATGGACCCGTGATGATTCGGGTTAGAATTGGTCTTCAGCAACCCCTACTTGTCGTAAGTGCCGACTAACGAGATCTGGTGCTCAGGCTCGCTAACCTGGTTGACACATGTCATCATATCCCAGGTGCGCACATTGATGCTGATGCTGTTGATCACTGGATTGTCTAATCCAGACGCGATTATTTACACACATATAGCTGGAATATTTCTGAGTGCGGCGTAAAACAATACACCAAACCAGGTAAATCACCAGCGTTTAACTTAGACGTTGTTCAAACCGGTGGAAAGTCAACTTCACAGACACGTACGAACGCACAAACAAATATTTTCACCACTGGTACATGACAATATTTTAATCAATTTTCAGCTGTCTATGTTGAGCTGATGAAGGGATACTATGATCTGCCATCCAGTCTCCACTTCACACACAAGTACACAGCACCGGTCACATTCGGGGCCTACAATGGCCAGGAGGTGCACGTGGTGAGTCAGGGATAACTTGGAATACCAATACAGGTGCTCCCCAAGGCTGTATATTATCGCCGGTATTGTTCACGTTATACACCAACGGCGAGATGCACGTGGTGAGTCAGGGATAACGTGGAATACCAATACAGATGCACCACAAAGTTATGTTTTATCACCGGTATTGTTCACGTTATACACCAACGACGAGGTGCACGTGGTGAGTGTCGAATGGATGTGTATGCATAAAAATAGTCATCCTTTGTATTTATATACTATTGATACTGCTTATGTTCTCCACAATATAAATATCATTTGGAACCTCATTGTGGATTTTTAGTGTAAACTGGATGTATATCCTTATGAGGTTCGTATCTTCCCCTCCACAAATGCCTGTCATAAGAGGTGACTCAAAGGTCCAGAAAGGCAAAATCGCTGATTTAATTGATTCCGAAAATGCAGTAATTGCACAAAATACAATAGCATTACGATTGTCCTGTACAGAATTGATTTGTTAATGTCTTCTAATATCAAATATGCATTCATGTAATTGCATGTTTGTTTGTTTGGTCTGTGGGGGACATCTTTGTCCTTTGTATTTTAGTATGTTTTTCCTTGTCATCTAATTCCAACCTTGTCCTTCAGACTGGGGGCAAGCGGATGCCAGCGTCCATGTTCCACAAGGTCACGGACAATTCCGTGCTTCAGATGTTGCCGCAGAATGCTCGAAGCAAGGTGCGGCTAAATATTTATCACCTATCATATAGATGGTTTTGGTTTACATGCTAGTTTTATATTCATATCTGCGATACTCTAGTATTTTTAGTGTCCATCGTCGACAGGTTTTACTCTTCAAAATGTTTTCATCTTTATTGTATAAATTGTTTTCGTCACGATATGGCTGAGATATTGCCGATGTGACGTTAAATATTAATTCACTCACTCACTCATATATATCCTATCCACAACGTATTGGTTTTTGATCTAATCATCTCACCACTGTTACATGATCCGCATATAATGGGGAAATGCAAACATTGCTGAATTTCAGTCACACCGATTATAATCCTCAGTTGTACTGTTTACCGGTAGGGAAGCCTAGTGGTTAAAGGATTCGCTCGTCACACCGAAGACCCGGGTTCGATTGCCTACATAGGCACAATGTGTGAATCCCATTTCTGGTGTCCCCCGCAGTGACATTGCTGGAATATTGCTAAAAGCGGCGTAAAACGAAACTCACTCAATCACTCCAAGTCCAGAAACGTATAAACGATCGCGGGTTCAAATCCTGTTCTGAGCTGACTTTTCTAATGCTTTTAGTACCATACGTATACCCATGCTCATTACAGATTCAGCAAAGTTGAAATTTTTTTAAATTACGCCAACATTTTCCAGGACGGGTTTCCACCCATTGACATTCCCTGAATATAACGCCATCGCCAACCCTTCCAGAACATATTTTCCGATTCCCTGGTTGCGATTTGTTGTAAGTGTTAGTGAATGCACCAGCTAGTTGATACCGCAAGCAGTTGTCACGTGACAAGATCCATTTCCGAACAACAACCAGTCATCTTCAGCCTCTAGATGCTGGTACTATTCAGTCAGTAAAAGCTCCATACCGCCAGCACCGTGAAGATCAGGGTTAGAGTTGGTCTTCAGCAACCCATGCTTGTCGTAAGAGGCGACTGAGGGCATCGGGTGGTCAGGCTCGCTGACTTGGTTGACAATGTTATCGTATCCTAATTGATGTTCATGTGTTTGATCACTGGATTGTCAGGTCCAGACCGCTGCTATATAGTTGGAATATTGCTGACAATTAGCCAAAACCAACCAACCAACTGCCCATTGCGAAACTGACTGATAACATACGCTATGTGAGGAAGGTCTAGGATGGGTGGACTGGGACACATAGTCACAGTACTACTAGGTGTTTGCACATATTCATGTGACCACCATCTGGTTATATACCAGCAGATACCCTAGGGGTTGTGTCAACACTGTAAGAGTCTGCACACAAAGTTGACTCCAATGTGTTTACACCCGGTCACAGGTGGGATCGATCCCAACACCTCAAGCTCGCGGTATCACTAGCCTGGCGCCGAAGCCAGCTCGCCCACCACGCACCCTGATGACTGATAACGTACGCTATGTGAAGAAGGTCTGGGATCTTCGGACACTTAACTCAGTTACAATTCTTTGAAATCACGCTACCCTCCTGCCTCTACACCACCCAACTTTAAAGATAGTGATCCGGACGATGATATCCCTCTAACAGGACTGGTCAACCGTGTCCAGAAATCTTAATGGACAAATGACATAACCCGGGTAATTTCCAAGTGGTTCCTCGTGGCGGTATACTTGGACAAATACTTTATTTTCAGGTGCTTCAAGTTCATCTCCCGAATGCTGGAATATCTGACTATGGCAATATTACACGCTTTGGTTTCTACACGACCAAGATTTCCTGGCTGGAGTTGTTTATCAACGGAAATCCAACACGCCTGGCTAGATACCCGAATGAGGTAAGGAATCCACTTCTACTTTCATCTGTGACTTTGCTGAATTCCACATCATAAGGGATCAATATTTCAATATCAAAACAGTAAAGGACCTTTTTAATAAAGTTAATTATCATTTAATCATTGATTTTTTAAAACAGATAGATTTCTTAAAGGAATTTTGATATATGTTTTGTAAATAGATAAAGTTTATAATTTGTAGTTCAGATTATCAACTTAGATTGTTAGTGGCTGTGTCCTAAAAAGGGGTTGAAGTAGCATAAAATTATTTTCCTCATAAGAGGGTACGTAAGTCCCAAAATCTTGCAAAGTAAAATGTTCGCGTACCACGTTTTTAAACGTAGTATTTTTGTTCCTTTAAATTTCGGCTAAATTATTCTACAATCGCCAGCGGCTGAAGGGATGATCTAAATCCAGCTAGGCTCCATGCAGGTAGCAAAAGTAATGTAAGTCAACATGGTTCCTAGTATGGTGATCTACCTTCAGTTGTTGGCGATCTATAGTCCGTGTTTTATGTTGTATTGTCTTCTGTTTTAGTTTTACATGCTAGTTTTATGTTCATATCTGTGATACTCTAGTATTTTCACTGTCCATCGTCCATTATATAAATTGTTTTCGTCACGATATGGCTGAAAAATTGCCGAAGTGACGTTAAATATTAACTCACTCACTCACTTAAAACTGAAAGATAGGGTTGTTGGATGTGTCAGTGTTGGTGGTTTCTTTGGATCGATGAAGATGTACGTTGATGAAATCTTCTTTTGCCCTTTCAATTTACACTGTAAACTGAATATTAGCACTATCCACATCTTTGTGTAGTTCACATGTGGTCCAAAGGATAGAGTTGTATGATGAGACCGTCTCTTGGGGTGATCAAGTCAGATGTTATCAATGACGATTTTTATTAATGCTGAAACTGATTTCGTTGAGTGTCTATTCCCAATTTATGATCAGAATCAATGGCGATACAGTTCGGAACATAAGACCAAACCAGTGAGACCCCAATCCAAATGATATTAACTGTCCGTGAACGATTCATTTTCTTGAAGCTACACGGTTAACTAGGTTCCATGGTGGAATAGTTTTGTGGTTAAAGAGTGGGCTCGTCACTCCTATGATACGGGTCTGATACCCGACATGGCACCATGTGTTAGCACAGCGTTGTTTTACTCGTGAAATGATTCGTAGAAAGCTCACACTCACGTGGACGATGCAATATCTATCAGAGGTCGTCATATTGCTTTCTGCCATTCGTAATATTGATTTTCAATACCCACAACAGTCCCAATGGTCCCTAGTATGATGATTTACCTTCAGTTGTTGGCAATCTATAGCCAATTTTTATATTGGATTGTCATGTATAGTTAAAATATGTTAGATTTACTTACTAGTTTTAAATGTATTCCTGTGAATGTTTTACTGTCCTCTGCAGACAGGTAAGTATATTATATATGTTTGTTTTATGTCAATTATATATTTACTTTCTTAAACTTTCTTAGTCACATATGGCTGAAACACCCACACCAACGTATAGGTGACTCCTCAAGAGTGAGTGAGTGAATTATGATTTTGAGTCATATCGTCAGTATTCCAGCCACATCGTGACTAAAACAAGTTGTAGGTTCCTAATACATAAAGCATAAACGAACGACAGTAAAATCAACTAGTGTATCACATATTCCTCGAGAATATATACCAATTATCTTCAACGAAATACAGACTGCATATATACTCTCCTCAACAAACGACAAGCACTTGAGACACTACCCTACATAAGATACAGACATTATATACACCACCCCACACAAGATACAAACACTACAGAGACTATTCACATAAGATACAGACACTATAGAGACTATTCACATAAGATACAGGCACTATAGAGACTATTCACATGGCTGTTCTCCTGGTGATTAACTTGTTGCTACTCTTCAGGGATACATCGATATAACAGCTGTGGAATCGAAACACGGCACCACCTTTACATACAATTCCACTGAAGATGCTCGTTGGACTCATGAGAAGGAACCTTGGGCGATCGGATACTGGTCAGTGTCAACTGGGGCGGTGGAGTAGTCAGGTGCAAGATGTGATGGCATATCGTATAAATGTTAAATTATGTGCAGTTGCGAACAGGTCAAGAGAGCATTGATTGATTGATTGTTGTTTAACGCTACACTCGGCAATATTTCAGCTATAGACCGGCGGTTGTAAATAATCGAGTCTGGACCAGACAATCCTGTGATGAGCATTGATCTAAGCAGTTGGGATGCGATGACATGACCGCCCGATCCCATTAGTCGGCAATTACGAGATGGGTTACTGAACATCAGTTCTAATCCACATATGAGTGGTCAAGAGAACAACAGTCGTCTCTATTGCCTGTCAAACAGATTCCATTGGGCGTAAAAGCCAAAAGGGAGATGGAAACTATATGAATGGGTCACTGAATAGGTCAATTCTAACCCACATCTTCATATGTGTGGTCAAGAGAACAACCTACAGTCGTCTCTATTGTCTGTCAAACAGATTCCATTGGGCGTAAAAGCCAAGATGGAGATGGAAACTATATGAATGGGTCACTGGAAATCAGAGTTTGAGTTTTGGTAAGGACACTGCTGCAATGCACTTATGTTTACAATAATAACGTCTCGTCACAAGGAGTAGCATCTCAACGCCTGCCAACCAGGCATTCGAAATACCCACAGTTGGTTTTAATGTCATTTGGGTTGAATATCATTACAGGTTGGTTTTAATGACATTCGGATTAATATATCATTACAGGTTGGTTTTAATGTCATTTGGATTAAAATATCATTACAGGTTTTCCACATGTAAGCACTGTCATAGCGAAAACGTTGTCTTTGCAAACGTCTACGCACGCACTCGACACTGTTATACACGTTTTTACTTCAAGACAGTGGGTATCCTGTCCCTGTTTGTTTTCAGGTATTTTAGCTGGGCGGATGATGCAGTCAAAATAGCTAACATTGACGTACAGAGACATCGGATCACTTTGGCAAGGAAGACCCGATATGGACTGCGAGTTGGTGGGTCCTCAGACAAACTCATCATCTAATTAATGCACTGTAAATGACGATGGGCAACATACCAAACGCAATGTTCTAATGACCATCTTTGATATATTCAAAGTCATATATTTCAAAATCTTCACATCTTCAACGTATTCATTCGCAACGTATATCTACCACTGGATTGACTTTTTGTCCAAGAAATGGTGTTTGTTTTGGAGAAATACATATCGAAAAGGATAAAGACAGTCCAAAAGCAAAAATTAAGAAGTCAACATCGATGACCGAGATGAGCTCATTTTCAAAATTATTCTTGGAAACAGACTACGCTACCTACATTCCAAACTCCAGTGATAATTGGCTGATTTAGAACTTCCAGATTAACCCTAAATGGAAAGGTTAAGTTGGTGTTCACACTTACCTCCCTTTGTGTAAGGAACCAATGATCGTGCTTTCGAATCCCGATTATGTTTCCAGGATCACACCCGCGCTCCCATGTTTGTCTGAAAAGGTAAACATCATGGACCAGAATCACAATCTGCGTTCTTCCCGCATTTAAACCCGTGAAGATCTTCATCAATCCATGCTTGTCGTAAGAGGCGTCTGACGGGATCGGTCAGACGCGTGGTCAGGCTCGCTGACTTGGTTGACACATGTCATCGTATCCCAATTGCGTAGATCAATGCTCATGATGCTGATCACTGGATTGTCTGGTCCAGACTCGATTGTTTACAGACGGGTGTTATATAACTGGAATCTGGAATATTGTTGAGTGCGGCGCGTTACAGTTCGAGGGGAGGTTAAACCCAACTCATGTGTTCCAGGGCACTACAACGACGCCAGCCTTGCCGGCTTCTCCCAGCAGGGCGGCTACTTCCGGGTGTTCAATATACTGTCAGAGCTGGATCAACCGGTGAGAATACCGTTCACATTGCCCCTGATACATATTCCTTATTTCGATGTAATTTATATATGTACATATCGAGGGCAAAAAGAGAGTGCATCTTGGGGTGTCTATCGACAGCATTTTAAATATGGTTTTAGTGTTGTGGATGAAAATGCTCTGCAAGTTCGTCAGTTATATTTAGTAATGCTGGGGCTTTATAAAATTCTGTACCAGGTTTCTTTGCAGTATCTGACATGGTGGCAAAGTCCAACAAGTCACCCCAGTCCTACCTTCAGCACATCTGAATGAGATGGAGACATCACACTGCTAATAAATAAAATTGCTCAAAAGAAGTTAAGGGCAACACGTCTATTCATATTAGTGTAGACCTTTTATCAAAGAGAGATTACCTACATATGAAAGAATCAAATGATCCTTAACTTCTTTTGAGTAGCATACATTACAACGAACATGTGTATAACGGACTAAATGGAACCAACAATTTTAGTTCCTTATAACCGTAGTTAATTGCACTTCTTTCAGGGTGAATACTACATCGATAGATCAACTGGTATTCTGTACGTGTGGCCGAATACTCCTCACGGTACGCTGTCCAACTCTGATGTCATTTATGCCTCGATGGTGACAGACTGCATCAGGTAAGTTCATGTTCTACGTTTCATGATTGCATTTATTTACACTTACCGTTCTATGTCCAAGTGCATTAACTTCTAGCATATCTTCCTGGAAGTACGTTAATAAAGAACACGCTTACAAAGAAATGACTGATGAAACCACTTGCTGTAGAAATGGAATTATTTGATAAATTTTGAAATGCATTGTGGTTTTAATTTGGTAGAATGAAGAAATCACTATGATTGTTAGTGGCTGTGCTTTCAAAGGGGGTTGAAGTAGCGTAAAATAAAAGTCCCCCTGAGAGGGTACGTAAGTTCCTTTTCATTCAAAGTATTTTTTTTCTCTGGATTTTAATAGTAACATATTTGTTCATTTAAGGTATGGCTATTTTGCTAAACAATCGCCAACACCTGAAGGTATGATGTAAATCCAGCTAGGGTGCATGCAGGTAGCAAGAGTACCTTAAGTCCCCATGGTCCCTAGCATGGTGATCTGCCTTCAGTTAATAGTATCGTTTTCTTATAGCATGCTAGTTTTACTGTATTATATGTGATATACTAGTAGTCTTACTGTTCTTCGACAACAGACTTTTAATTGTATTGATCTATAATATAATAAATAAATTGTTCCCGTCACGATATGGCTGAAATATTCCCGATGTGACGATAAATATTAACTCACTCGCTCACTTTCTGTATATTATTGCTCCCTTTGAGTTCGCTATAACCATATCTTACTGTACTGTATGTAGTAATGCAACCACTAGTATTGTTCTGACAGGACAGATTCCCAAGTCAGCAATCTTCACTTCGAAGGTTTCTCCCTGGAAGCTTGTCGGCGTTATGGATTTGACCTCAACAGTGGACACAACATTGGTTTTAAGAATATGGAGATTAAAAAACACAGGTATTCACCTCACAGATTGCGAGATGCATAGGATGCTGATCCAAAGCTTCATAGACAACTCGTGTACATGGAAAGGAGAATATTAAGTTATGGATCATTTATGGGTTATGTTCACTTGGCCAATTTATGTACTTTTTTGTCCAAGTTAACTCGTAGAAAAGCAAAAGAATTGTACAATAAGCCTTTAAAAGTTGTAACCACAGCATCTGGCAACGCTGATGACCAGGTCCTCGTTGTACAGTGTGTTGTAAGTTGTTTTAGCTCTAAGATGGTTGTTTAACATTGGTATTCGATTGTTGTAGCAAGGAGATCGGTTTGAGACAGATTTGAGGAGTATCTGAATCCAAGGCACTTAGTAAACATTGTGCTTGTTTTTCATCTCTTATCAACGTCTGAATACTGTAATTTAAATACCAATGTCGGATAATAAGCAACATCGATTATGTCCCAAAACAGATTCCATTGGTGTAGAAAAAATGAGGAGATCACTGTAAATGTGTACAGATAGCAGGTGTTAGTGAAAATGTGGAATGCACATTGTCCCTTAGAAAGTGGTCAAATGTAACATATGGTATATTGGTGATGGCACTTTCTCAGTCACGTACAGATTTTAGTCCCTTTTTTTGGTGATGCTGATGCTTTTGATCACTGGATTGTTGGGTCCAGAGGCGATTATTTGTAGACCGCCGCCATATAGTTGGAATACCCCTCTGCTTGTTTTCTGTTTAGCCACTATCAAACGTGGATGTATACTACAGTGATGTTTCAGGTGGCTATGGAATCCATTGTTCTGGCGACTGTCGCTATGTGACCGTGTCTTCCTGTGAGATGCATCACACCTGTGGAGGAATCGCAATTACAGGTAACAGGTACCAACAGGACTGTTTTAATCCAGCTGCTTTTACAAATGATCGTTGAGTCAATTTCATAACCGGTAAGATAGCATCAATTGATTCTGAAATATTATTTGGAAGCTGCGAGAAAATATCTCTAGGGCCGATGTAGGTTTTAGAAATGATCTCGCCGTCGTTTAAAGATAAGATATCGCAGATTTACCTGAAATTACATACGAAAAACGATCTTAGTTAAGGTAAATCCTACTAAATGTTTTTCAAAGAAAATATGTGTAAAACATGAATATGATAAGATACAACGATCTTAGATTATTACCATTAACTTTCGTTAAAAGAATGCATTTACTATAAGATATAGTCAGTCTTACTAACCTTAGTTTAAAGATAACAGTTTGATGTAATGTACAGTTTGTAAACGTTTCAAAATTACTTTATCTTAAGTGAAATATTTAAAGTTAAATGTTATTGTTGTCTTTATCGTGCATTGCAGTTGTAACTGTAGCCTTGTGTTTTAAGTGTTCACTCATCAGGCTCTAGGCCCGGGTTCGAATCCCGAGATGGATACTATCTGTGAAACCTATTCTGTTGTCACCGTGACATTGCCGAAATATTGCTAAAAGACGTTAAGCCTCACCCACCCACTCACTCACTCACTCTCTCTCTCACTCAGAAGCACTGTAAATGTGGCTTTGTTAAATGAATTTTGATATATGTTTTGTAAATATATAAGGTTTTATAGTTGGTAGTTTAGATTATGAACTTAGATTGTTAGTGGCTATACCCTCAAAGGGGGTTGAAGTATCGTTAAATTATTGTCCTCCTGAGAGGGTACGTAAGTCGCAAAACTTTCAAAGTCAATTTCAACTTACCACGATTTTTAAACGTAGTATTCTTGTTATTTTAATTTTGGCTAACATTTCTTACAATCGCCAACAGCTGAAGGGATGGTGTAAATCCAACTAGGGTCCATGCAGGTAGCAAAGGTACTGTAAGTCCCCATGGTCCCTAGTATGGTGATCTACCTTCAGTTGTTGGCGACCTGTAGCCTGTATTTATATTGTATCGTCCTCTATAGTTAAAGAATTTTAGATTACATTACTAGTTTTAATAAATATATATATATATATATATATATATACACAAACACACACACACACATATATATATATATATATTTTATATATATATATATATATATATATATATATATATATATATCTTCGGTAGTATAGTTAGTTTTACTTTCTATTGTCGACAGAAATTATAAATTGATTACTTGTTTTCATCGCTATATGGCTGTAATATTGCTGATGCGATGTCAAATTGTAACTCACTCACTCATGTGGCATATCCAGTTAGAGACAAGTAAAAACAATTCTCATGTACTTGTTTTAACAAACAGGTGGTGACCGCAAGACTCTGACACCTTCTGGAAATTTGATAGAGGACAACCATATCTGGCAGTATGCACGTGTTGGGGGAGTTGGCTACCACGCCATCAGCCCCGGAGGAGTGGGAATATCCATGCGCTACAACCACATCCACGACGGCCAGTACACGGGAATCAGATGGGCGGTAACACAGATATTGGTTCATTTATTTCCCAGTACGATTTATTACCGTTACGACGTCAAACACAAGAGAACTAGTGGAACACTTTTTATGGATAGACAACGTCTTTGTTGCAGTAGTAGTTGCGACGTTTCGGTGTAGATCCTAACACCGTTATCAAGCAACTTCATCATACCAGCTTCAATATGCCACTTAAGGAAGACAAGAGAACTACATTGTACATTTTAATACACTGGGGTATTCTGGTCAAATGAATACTCTTAAAATTATTAAATCATATGCTGAAGTATAAAAGTATTGTCAGTGCAACAATTTACACCACGTGCACATTCGAGTTAAAAATGACTTTCAGTAACCCGTGCTTGTGGTAAGAGGCGACTACCGGGATCTGGTAGTCAGACTGACTGACCTGCTTGATCCAGGTCATCGTATCCCAACTGGGGCGGTGGGGTAGCCTAATGGTTAAAACGTTGGTGCGTCACGCCGAAGATCCGGGTTCGAATCCCCCGCCGTGATGTTGCTGGAATATTGCTAAAAGCGGCGTAAAAAACCAAACTCGCTCAGTCAGTCGTATCCCAACTGTGGAGATCTATGCTCATGATGACAGGGGGCGGTGGGTTAGCCTTGTGTGTAAAGTGTTCGCTCGCAACGCCGAAGGCCCGGATTCGATTCTCCACATGGGTACAATGTGTCAAACCCATTTCCGTCCCCCAACGTCATATCGCTGGAATAAATTTGAAAAAGGCATAAAACTATCGCCTTAGACTAACCCGTAAAGACCCGGATTAGAAACTGATCTTCTGTAACCGCCAGTAACCCATGCTTGTCGTAAGAGGCTCCCTGACCTGGTTGACTCATGTGATCGTATCCAAGTTGCGTAGATCATGCTGTCGATCACTGGATTGTCTGGTACAAACTCGATTATGTACAGATCGCCGCCATTTAGCTGAAATATTGCTGAATGCACTCACTCACTCACTCACTCACTCACTGCTTTATGTCGTGTTTCTCCAGGGCAACGATCATGTGATGGAATATAACCACTTGCATCATCTTTGTGTCAACTCCAGTGACTGTGGAGCTCTTCACGCCGGGAGAGACTGGACCATGGTGTGTATATTGACTGTTTCACACGTTCAATCTTTAAAATATGAAACACTTATTTTTGTTCGATTGTGTTCTCTCATATAAAAACGAACTAGGCTCTGAGAACAACTCCTACCAGCTGGCATGACCAGCTAACATATTGGAGTTCATATGTGAGTCAATACATTGTGAATTCCAAGTGAATCCCTTTCAATAATCGTAAGGAGACTCTGATAAGTACAAACTCCATTGTACAATTCGACTACAGCAATATATGTTATTTAAATGTTATGGCTCGATTGTCAATAATTGCTGACAGCTGAAGGGATGGTGTAAATCCAGCTAGGGTCCGTGTAGGTAGCAAAAGCACTGTAAGTCTCCATGGTCCCTAGTATGGTGATCTACCTTCGGTTGTTAGCCTGTTTTTATATTGTATTGTCATGTATAGTTAAAATGTTTTAGATTGTATTACTAGTTTTACATTTATATCGGTGATATTCTAGTCGTTTTGCTGTCCTTCGTTGTCAGGTTTTTATACTTTACCTATAATTATTATTAAGATATAATTTGATATATTCACGATATAACTGAAATACTGCCGATGTGACTTAAAATCTTAACCTTACTCACTCGACTAAAGCATGGGCCAGATTTTGTTGGACGTTGCGCCGACTTGGTTGACGTCATCGTATCCCAATGGCGTAGATCGATGCTCATCTTGTTGATCACTGGATTGTCTGGTCCAGACTAGATTATTTACACACCGCCGCCATATACCTGGAATATTGATGAGAGCGGTGTAAAACTAAACTCACTCACTCACTCGTTGGACGTTAAAGGAAAATTGTGATGAAAAGACACGTCATATGATCTGATCACTGGACTTAGCAATGACACCAGGTATTCGCAAAAAGGGTAAGCGATGCGCAATAGAACATCCATAGCTTTTGTAGTGTGGTTTTTGTAACAAAAATGCATCACGAACAGCGAGGCAACCTCATCCGCTACAACTACATCCACCATACACTGAGGAACGTCCCCGGAGCCCAGGTCCGAGGCATCATGCTGGACGATCAATACTCCAGCGTCACAATCGAGCATAACGTCTTCTACGACGTAAGTTGACTTAACACTGAACAATTTAATACAAACAGTTTGGTGTTTCTCATTTTTTCTAAGAACCTTGACGGATTTCACAAATTTATAGCAACGTTGCGTTTATTTCACGTTTTGAAGCATCGGTACACAATTCCTTTCTTACTGTTTTGGTATGATTTTGATTTGTGCATGTATGTTCAGAACGAGGTCCATGCCAACATCGGCGGTGGTCGTGACAACATTATCCGCTACAACGTGTTCTACAACGCCACAGGGGACGGTATAGAGGTGGATGGCAGGGGCTTGTATCATGCTCCAGGAGGCGACATTATAACACATTTGAAGGTAAACATTACCACAGCACAACAAATATACTACTCCGCTTTTACCAGTGAATATCCGGGTTAGAATTGACCTTCAGTAACCCATGCTTGTCGTAAAAGGTGACTAATGGGATCAGGTGGTCAGGTTCACTGACTGGGTTGACATATGTCATCGTGTCCCGGTTGTGTAGATCTATGCTCGTGCTGTTGATCACTGGAATATCTGATCCAGACTCGATTATTTACAGAACGCCTCCATAGAAGCTGGAACATTACTGAGTGCGGCGTTCAGCAACAACAAACCAACGTCTCCACTTTTGATATGATCATTTCTTGTTATGTCAAGTGCAAACAGAAACATACATAGGCATATTATTATTCCTGTCAAATTCCGACTGCATTAAATTGTTTGATTGCAATCAAGATAATTTTAAGTACATGGTTAGTTTTGCAGTAGTTTCCGTAAAATATGTTCCTATTGGCTTTCATCGTTTACCTCGTACATTTCAACCCCACTCCAGGCTGTGCCGTACACCAACCAACTTTGGGCGAGTAAATATCCAAAACTGGCCAATATGACAAACCCAAGCGAACCAGCAGGTAAGAGGCAGATATCAATATTTATCAAGCGAGTAAGTGAGATCTCACATAAGAAGTCACAAAGGCAATATTCTTCAGCCATACCGTTACTAGAACAACTTCTAAATTCACGATGAACACGGTTAAACTATTCAAACCTGTCGACGAAGGACGAAACCACTAGAATATCATAGAAAAGAAATTAAAACCAGAATATATCTCTGAAATGTGATTTCCATTTTGAACAATACAATATTAAAACGGGCTATACATCACCAGTATCTGGAGGTGAACCATAGTTACGGTTATCAACACATCTGACTGGTCCTGTGGTCCTGTGGATTAAGTCCAATATTCTGTCATTCACACAATTTGCATTCAAAAAGTAAACATTTAAAACGTGAAAAGCCCGTTCCCATTGTTATGTTTGTCATATCCCTGACAATGACGTGAAATCTGATTCATAACACATACGGACGTGGAGAGATTATAGACTTTACAATATATAGGTGTCTTGTAACTGTACCTATGTGGGCTTTACATCCGGGTAGGGGTGGGGTAGTGTCGGCTGAGACTCCGTAATCAGCACAGACAGCAGGGTTGCCTTCCAAAGCGTCAAGAAACCGTTGATCGTTGGTTTGATACAGAATACCACCGATTATATACTGTACAAAATAAGTTAGGGATATTGGTATTTTTAAGATTGATATTTTATCAGTGTGTCAATGAATAAATAATAATTTCAAAATTTACATGTATCCCTAACTATTTTTGTTCAGTATATTTCAAGATTTGTCAGAGCCCTACCTATGCTTGTGAAACAGGTGAGTGAGTGAGTTAAGATTTTAAGTCACATCGGCAATATTTTGTGAAACAGGTGAAACGCTACGACCTGATATTGGTTTGTTGTTGGTGGTTGTTTTTGTTTTAATGTTTTATTTTATTTATTACTGCGGAACCTGTTTCTTCGGTAAAACTATATTGTATTTTCTCTTGTGTGAGGCTTTGCTTTTCAATGTTTACAGGCCAGGTGGCCTTGTCATACTAAAGGAGCGTTCTCACTGTACGACTTGCAGTAACCACATATAGCATATGACTTGTAGCAACCGTGAGAACGCACCTTAACCATAAACGCTACTATCAATAGTCAGTTATCAATCGATACACAAACATGTACATATGAACACATATATCTTTTCTGCTATCAAACATCCAAACGTGCATACAAACAAAAATAGCACCTTTGTGCTGTCTCTCCAGAACTCTGCAACGTTCGCCGCGTATACACGAGGATGCACATATGGTAAGCTGCTAGCTAACTGTAAGTATGTATTTCCAGGCAATCAGATCTACAGCAACATATTTTATAGCCTGCCTGGTATCCGCACTATATACTACACCAGTCGCAGTATGGAGAGGCAGAACTACTTCAATGTATCCAATAATCACAAGGTAGTGTATTTGCTGGTACATGTATTGCCACCAACAATGAGGCGCGGTTTGACCAGTCGCCTAAGGCGCTAAAACTCCTTCAGAGTTACGTACCTTTGGCGCACCAGGCGCATGTGGTCATGGGTTTGAATCCCGGTTGGCTCAGATGTTGTTCCTCGGGATGTCAGCACCATAACCGTACTTTTAGGGTTAATCAAAATGGTAACCCGTGAAGATCCGGGTTAGAATTGATCTTCAGTAACACATACGCCATAAGAGGCGACTAGCGGGATCGGGTACTCAGGCTCGCTTACTTGGCTGACACATGTCATCATATCCCAGTTGCGCAGATTGATGCTCAAGCGGTTGATCACCGGGTTGTCTGGTTCAGTCTCGATTATTTACAGACCGTTGGATAGCTGGAATATTGCTGAGTGTGGCGTAAAACTCTCTCTAAATGGCACTGTGAGTCCTCGTAGCTTTCGGGGACGGGAGCCGTGCCAATTTGCAACTGTCAGAGGGGAACACAATATACGTGATCTGGACTACCGGTTGTCGGATTTCCGTGACACGGTGGTTGAGTGGGTTAGATCGTTTACTTTCTGTGCTGACGGTTAGGTGCCTCTTCTGAAAGTGTGGGTTAAAATCGAGGATAAGACTCTCAACCAACTCAGCAACTATTATCTGTACTTAACTGATCAACTGTAATCGCAAAATAACAACATAGAAAAATGTTACACTAATTCCACGATCGATAGCACCAGCGACATATTTCAGTCATTGTAACGTTGTTTAATGAGTGTAAGCTTAAATTATTTTTTGTTTCCATATAATTCATAACGATTCATTGATCCTACATGGCCATTTACAGAATTCACAATTTAGTTTCCGGGAAACGCTATCAGGTCTGTTTGAAAAATCTGATAATGTCTGTCAGTACTCATTCCACAGTCGGTATCATCAACGGACTTCTGGTCACCTGATGACGCTGACTTCCGGGTCAGATGTCATGCGCAAGAGTGGGCCAACGCCATTAATTTCCCTCAGCCAGTCGATGTGAACCACGTAGGACCACGTCATCCTACTGGGCCTGTCTACATGCAGCAACGTGCGTCTCTTTATGTTACCACACTCATGTTTATAGGGTTCATACGAAGTGTCAGTGGTTAAACATAGATTTCAACACCTGTGAAGATCCGGATTAGAACTCATGTTTGTTGTAGGAGGCGACTAACGGAATCGGGTGTTCAGGCAAGCTGACGTAGTTGACACATGTCATCGTATTGAAGTTGCGTTGATGCTCATGCTGTTGATCACTGGATTGTCTGGTCCAGACTTGATTGTTTACTGGCCGCCGCTATCCCACTATCCCCCATACGGAAAGAAGGAAGCAATACCAAATCATAAAGCAATACCAAATCATTAAGCAATAGACCGCCTCCGTGGTGTAGTGGTTAGAGCGTCCGCCCGGAGAGCGGAAGGTCGCGGGTTTGATCCCCGACCGCATCATACCAAAAGACGTTAAAATATGGTACTTGTTGGTCCCTGCCAGGCGCTCGGCATTAATGGGTACAACAAGGATTGGGCGGACGCTCTAACCACTACACCACGGAGGCAGTCTCAAGTACGGATTGAGCATCTTGTAACTGTTAATACTGCATTGATATGAAGCAAGTCTACACGTAATAACAAACGTACCGAGGAGCGGCGGTGTAGCACAAAACAAAACATCTATGGTATCAAGAGGATAATGATCTTTCCACAGCCAGACAGACTCACAAGTCCCAAGCTCACCCTGCTGCATGTGCCGGAACCGTCGCCCCAGCAACGAAGACACCACAGACGCCATACTTCTCAGACGGCTCTGGGCCAAATACAATATACCCCAAAATCCCCAAACAAGGTACTTCTGAAGACCATATGTTTTCTTGGATAAATATCTGATACTTGACTGATACTTGTAAGTCATGACTATTAAACGATAATCGATCAAAAGTTGATGGTTAGTTTAAGAAGACCATATGTTTTCTTAGACAAATATCTGATACTTGACTGATACTTGTAAGTCATGACTATTAAACGATAATCGATCAAAAGTTAATGGTTAGTTTAAGAAGACCATATGTTTTCTTGGATAAATATCTGATAATTGACTGATACTTGTAAGTCATGACTATTAAACGATAATCGATCAAAAGTTGATGGTTAGTTAAAGAAGACCATATGTTTTCTTGGATAAATATCTGATAATTGACTGATACTTGTAAGTCATGACTATTAAACGATAATCGATCAAAAGTTAATGGTTAGTTTAAGAAGACCATATGTTTTCTTGGATAAATATCTGATAATTGACTGATACTTGTAAGTCATACTATTAAACGATAATCGATCAAAAGTTAATGGTTAGTTAAAGACCATACTGATAAATATCTTGTGATACTTGTAAGTCATGACTATTAAACGATAATCGATCAAAAGTTAATGGTTAGTTTAAGAAGACCATATGTTTTCTTGGACAAATATCTGATACTTGACTGATACTTGTAAGTCATGACTATTAAACGATAATCGATCAAAAGTTAATGGTTAGTTTAAGAAGACCATATGTTTTCTTGGATAAATATCTGATACTTGACTGATACTTGTAAGTCATGACTATTAAACGATAATCGATCAAAAGTTAATGGTTAGTTTAAGAAGACCATATGTTTTCTTGGATAAATATCTGATACTTGACTGATACTTGTAAGTCATGACTAAGTAAACGATAATCGATCAAATGTTGATGGTTGGTTTCATTGGAATCCAAAATAGACAAACTTTATGGACTCTTAGTTGAGAGGCAGGATTATGATTATCAAATCACAGATTATCCCCCCTGTTTACACACCTGTTTATGGCGCTTCCCAACCCATCTAAACATTTCTGTACACGTTTGAACTCTATCCTTTTAAACTTAATTTTGGGTGGGAAACGCGATACGATCAAAAGGAATATGTTAATAGATGACTATGCAAAGGGGGGTCTGAAAATGATAGACATCATATCTTTCTGCAACTATCTGAAGATCAAATGGATCAAAAGACTATTCACAGCAAAAGGATTTTGGCAGCACATAGCATTTGAATCATTATCGCCTTTTGGGGACATTGATCTATTTAACTTTCAAGGAGAAAAACTACTATTATACTCCAAAACATTAAAAATTACTTCTGGAAAGATGTCTTAGTATGTTACTCTTGTATTAATAGAAACCATATTGAAAACATCGGAGACTTTATTTGCCTACCAATTTTGAACTTTGTACATTTTGGAGACATAGGCTTGTTTGTCTCGTGGTATAGAAAAGGAATGAAAAATATGTGTGACATCATAACAATTACAGGTGATTTTAAACCTTTTGAAATCCTACAAGAAGATTTTAATCTCCATGAAACATACTTTCTCCAATTTAGATTTTTGAAATACGTACCTAAACAATGCCTTAATCTTCTTAAGGCTACACCTATTGTTGGTGAATTAGTTACCAGAAACTGTACTATTATTGAACAAAAATGTAACTCGGCTGATTGTAAATTTGTGTACTCACAGCTGTGTGACAATCATGGAATATCATTAGATGATCTTCAACTTAGATCGGAATCCAAGCTTAATACTACTCTATCAGAGAATTATCTCACTGACTGTTTTGCAATGATAAATACTACTACTATAGAAAATAAGGCTAGAAACTTTCAGTTTAAATTCATGCACAGAATAGCTTCAACAAAGTCATTTCTTTGTAAAATAGGTATTAATCACGATAATCTCTGTACTTTGTGTGGCCGTGAAATAGAAACTCTTGAGCACTTATTCTTTTTATGTGAGAAAGCTAAACATCTAATCTCTCGAAGGATGAGGAATATTTCTATGGATATACAACTTCTTTATTCTGTATAGGCGACGTTTCGACATAGATTCTAATTCTAGAATCTATGTCGAAACGTCGCCTATACAGAATACAGAAGTCGTATATCTTAGAATCTATGTCGAAACGTCGCCTATACAGAATAAAGAAGTTGTATATCCATAACAATAGTCCTCATCCTTCATCTACCCAACTTCTAGAATGCCAATCAAAGAAATCTAATCTCTCAGTTTACAAGCTGGTACAATTCGAAGACTGGCGCTCGCCTCAATATCGATATTACTAAGTTTCTACTGGGGCACCCTGAAGCAGGTGTATGAGTTAATCATATTTTCATTATCACCAAGGAATATATCAATAAAGTAAGATGTACCTCCGCAGATTTAAATGTTGATCAACTCTTCTACCTCATACAAAAACACTACTATTCGGAAAAATATATTTTCGGGGAACACCACTCTGTCTTCAAAGCAAAATGGTTATGTCTCTTTCAAGACGACTAAATTTTAGATTAGCATGGTGAGTTTCTCTCTTCTTCACCCTTACCTCTCACTTTCCCTTACCTCTCACTTTCCCTTACCTCCTTACCTCTCACTTTCCCTTACCTCTCTCTTTCCCTTACCGGGGCGGTGGGGTAGCCTAGTGGTTAAAGCGTTGGCTCGTCACGCCGAAGACCCGGGTTCGATTCCCCACATGGGCACAATGTGTTAAGCCCATTTCTGGTGTCCCCCGCCGTGATATTGCTGGAATATTGCTAAAAGCGGCGTAAAACTAAACTCAGTCAGTCAGTCAGTCTTTCCCTTACCTCTCACTTTCCCTTACCTCTCACTTTCCTTACCTCCTTACCTCTCACTTTCCCTTACCTCTCTCTTTCCCTTACCTCCTTACCTCTCACTTTCCTTACCTCTCTCTCTTTCCCTTACCTCTCACTTTCCCTTACCTCTCACTTTCCCTTACCTCTCTTTCCTCTCCTCACTTTCCCCTTACCTCTCTCTTCCCTTACCTCTTCACTTTCCTCTCCTCTCTCTTTCCTTCTCTTCTCCTTTCCCTTACCTCTCACTTTCCCTTACCTCTTTCCTCTCACTTTCCTTACCTCTCTCTTCCCTCTCACCTTTCCCTTACCTCCCCTCTCTACCTCTCACTTTCCCTTACCTCTCACTCTTTCCTTCTCCTCACTTTCCCCTCTCCTCCTCCTCTCACTTTCCCTTACCTCTCTCTTTCCCTTACCTCTCACTTTCCCTTACCTCTCACTCTCTCCCCCTCCTCTCACTTTCCCCTTACCTCTCACTTTCCCTTACCTCTCACTCCCACCTCCTCTCACACTTTCCCTCTCCCTTACCCTCTCTCTTCCCCCACCTCTCACTTTCCCCCTACCTCTCACTTTCCCCTTACCTCTCACTTTCCCCTTACCTCTCACTTTCTTACCTCCCCTTTCCCTTACCTCTCACTTCCCTTAACTTCTCTCCCTCCCTTACCTCTCACTTTCCCTTACCTCTCTCCCCTTACCTCTCACTCCCTTTACCTCTCTCCTCTCCTTTTACCCCTAATCCTCTCACTTTCCTTACCTCTCCTCTTTCCTTACCTCTCACCTCCCCCTTTCCTCTCCTCTCACTTTCCCTTACCTCTCCTCTCTTCCCTACCTCTCCTCCCTCTTTCCCTTTACCTCTCTCTCTTCTCCCTTAACCTCCTCACTCTTCTCTCCTTACCTCCCCACTTTCCCTTACCTTTTCCCTACCTCTCTCTCACTCTCCTCCCCTTTACCTCTCCACCTCCCTCCCTTTTACCCTTACCTCACCTTCTCCCATACCTCTCCCTTTACTCTCCCCACCTCCCTTACCCACTCTCCTTTCCTCTCACTCTCCCTTTCTCTCCTCTCCTCTTCTCTTCTCTTTCCCCTTACCTCCCCACCTCCCTTTCCCCCCCTCTCTCTCTTCCCTTACCTCTTCCCCTTACCTCCCACTTCCTCCTTACCTCTCACTTTCTCTTACCTCTTACCTCTCACTTTCCTCCCACTCTCCTCCCACCAATTACCTCTCACCTCTCTAACCTCCCTCTCTCTCTTTCCCTTACCTCTCACTCTCCTTTCCCTCACTAACCTCTCCTCCTCTTCCCTAACTTCTCACTTTCCTTACCTCTCACCTTCCCTCACCTCTCCTCCTTACCTCTCCTTTCCCTTACCTCTTCCTCTCACTTTCCCTTACCTCTCTTTCCCTTACCTCTCACTTTCCCCTAACCTCTCACTTTCCTTTCCTCTCTTTCCCTTTCCTTCCTCTCATCTTTCCCTTACCTCTCACTTTCCTTACCTCCTCACCTTCCCTTACCTCTCCACCTTCCCTTACCTCTCACCTTCCCCTACCTCTCACTTCCCTAACTTCTCACTTTCCCTTACCTCTCTTTCCCCTTTAACCTTTTCTTTCTCTAACCTCTTACCTCTCTTTCCCTTACCTCTTACTTTCCCTAACCTCTCTCTTTCCCTTTCCTCTCACTTTCCCTTACCTCCTACCTCTCACTTTCCCTTACCTCTCACTTTCCCTTACCTCTCACTTTCCCTTACCTCTCACCTTCCCATACCTCTCTCTTTCCCCATTTTTATTATTTTATTTTTATATCTTCTTATTTTCATCTCAAGTTATTAATAACGGCGTCAATAATTCATCAACTGTAACATGTGTTATGTTATCTGTGTTAACTTGGTGAAATGTAAAATATCATGTACCGTTATTAGTAATAAATAAAATTAAATAAAAACCAAAAAAAACAACAACAAAAAACCTTTATGGATAACAACTTGTTTATGCTATGAGAGCGACGTTTCGAGTCTTGTACCGTTGTCAAGCAGGAATGTGACATGAAGAGAAGCTGATGTATATAAGCTGAGTGTAACAAAGTAAACAACATAATTAACATAATTGGCAGTAAGCTGATTTGACAGAGGGAAAGACGCAGAAGTCAGGGATGTCCAAGGTGCATCTTATGGTGAGAAGAAGAACCTCACTTTTGTTATAGTATATTCATATGCTTATATCTATGTGTTTTGTGTGTCTGTTCATGTGGGGTATGAGTGTTAGGAAGGTGTGTAGAGCGTGATAAAGAAAAAGGCAGAGTGTGTGCAGTATGTAGTGAACTGTATGTGTGTATATATGTATGTATGTATGTATGTATGTATGTATGTATGTATGTATGTATGTATGTATGTATGTATGTATGTATGTATGTATGTATGTATGTATGTATGTATGTATGTATGTATGTGTGTAGGTATGTAGGTATGTGTGTAGGTATGTATGTATGTATTTGAGTGTTTGGATATATATGTGTACGTAGGTGCGCGTAAGTACGTTATTGCGTATGTATGTGTACATGTTTGTGCGAGAGTGTCATAGCATGAGAGCGTAATAACGTAAGCCTGTGACTGTGTGATTGTGTATATGAGTGCGTGATTGAACGATGTGTGTGAATGCATAATTTCGTGAGCGGGTGGGTGAGTGCATAATTGTGTGATTGCGTGTGAATGTGCATGCTTGCGTCAATGTGGATGATAGGTGCGGTTGCACGTGCTTTTATCACCCTAAAATATAATTTAATTAATCTGGAATGTATGTAATGATGTGTTTTATTTGTATTCTCTTATTTTATTGTATTACTGTCATAATGCTTGTGTTTTTAGTGTCTCATGAGCCAAATGACCGGGTGCTTTTTATGTTTTAACTATGTCTGTAATGTAACGCACTGTATTTTATTGCAAAAGCACGTGACACTTGAATAAACATCTTCTCTCTTTCTCTCATCTCTGTACAAATGAAAGGGGTAGTTTAAACAGGAGGAGATGTTTATACAGTTGATTGAGCTTGGTATAGGAGTGCATCGTAAGCGGATGGAAAGAAATATTCTTGATCACAGTTGATGGTGGGCTTTTATTGCTGATGAAGGTTGTTGGCTAACTATCACTGGATCATCACGGGTCGTTAGTTAGGCTGGAGGCCAGTATATAAGGATGTCTATAAGAGGGTTGAATCTATACAGGTTGTTGGCTAACTATCACCGGATCATCACGGGTCGTTAGTTTGGAGGCCAGTATATAAGGATGTCTATAAGAGGGTTGAATCCAAACTATCACCGGATCATCACGGGTCGTTAGTTTGGCTAAGGATGTCAGGATGAGGGTTGAATCTATTCAGGCTGTTGGCTAACTATCACCGGATCATCAATGGTCGTTAGTTTGGGTGGGCTGTTGGCTAACTATCACCGCCAGTTGATAAGGATGTCTATAAGAGGGTTGAATCTATACAGGCTGTTGGCTAACTATCACCGGATCATCACGGGTCGTTAGTTTTGGTGGAGGCCAGTAGATAAGGATGTCAATGAGAGGGTTGAATCTATACAGGTTGTTGGTTAACTATCACCGGATCATCACGGTTCGTTAGTTTGGGTGGAGGCCAATAGATAAGGATGTCAATTAGAGGGTTGAATCTATTCAGGTTGCTGGCTGATCATCACCGGGTGCCCCCTCCACCCCGTCAACGGCACACAGCGGGACGTGTGGGGGGAGCAGCATGAGCAGACTGGGGTGAAGGATGAGAACTGTCTGAAGAGGGCAGCAAAGGAGTGGAGGTACTGTGGCTCACCTGCCAAGGAAACTGTGACTGCAGTATTCGGTCCAACAGGTTTGAGTTACAGTTGAATATACTTTTCCTAGTTCGCAGGATACGAATAGTCAGAGGAAGAAGTGAGTGAGTTTAGTTTTACGCCGCTTTCAGCAATATTCCCGCAATATCACCTCGGGGAAAACCATGAATGGGCTTCACACATTTTATACATGTGGGGAATCGAACCCGGGTCTTCGGCGTGACGAGCGAACGCTTGAATTAAGTCAGTTGTTTAGAATAAATGTAATGGTAGCTTCTTATGGGGCTGATGGTTAGTATTACTGAGAGAAATGCGTTATATACTTTTAGAGAGCTGTGGTGAGATATAGTGTCTTTAAGTCCTTCGCAATCGTTGTATATAGATTATATCTTTAAGACAATGTTTTGATTGTTTTTCACATAGGTGCAATGACCATAGCTGGAAAACACTGTTACTTCGCCGACTATGGCTGTCCCAAACACGGCAAGGCCACCCCCGGGAGGCTGGAGATTGATCGGTATGGCGAGACCCACGGGGCACTGACGGAGGAGGGGAAGTGTCTGGGTAGAGCGTCTGGGGAGTTTGAGTATTGTGGATCCGACCCTGCACATCCGGTTACAAGCATCTACGGTCCAACAGGTGACAACAGACTAGTTAGATCTCTCCTAATAACCTTAATAAGGTATTTATTAATTGCACTGGTAATATTTTAAAATTATCAACCAACATACGCACCAATTAATCAGGTGACATGTCGCAAACAGTCATTGAATGTCGTTACAAACTATAGTTAACTGGTTATCCCGAAAAATATTTCATTTCTTCACACCAAACAGTTTTTCTGTAAAGTTAATATTTTAACTTGAAATCGACACGGCATGTGATGCACATCAATTCACAGGCGGCATAAGACATGCTGGAGGCGGGTGCTGGATCAAGATCTCGTCCTGTCCCTCTAACACCAACCTGACTGGCTTCTTCTACGACGCCTGGGGTGCAACCAACCTTGACACAGGTAATACAGTGAGTGAGTGAGTGAGTGAGTGGATAAATTTGAGATCTCCCACTGTCTTCCTAATGAATTTTTAACATTTTGTGTTGCTGTTGGGGACAACAGCCTCAAGGGAGGGGACGACGTGTTTAGCTCCAGTTACTATAGTTAAGATATGGCAATCAAAAGTGTAATTTGCATTGATTTTTGTCAAATATGAGAAGGTTGTTTGTTGTTTAACGCAGCACACAGCAATAGTGCAGTTAAATGGCAACGGTCTGTAAATAAACGAGTCTGGACCAGACAATCAAGTGATAAACGGCATGAGCATCGGTATACGCATGTGGGATACGATGACATGCGACAAGCATGGGTTGCTGACGACGAACTCTTACCCGGATCTTCACGGGAAAGGCGCCTCTTACGACAAGCATGGGTTGCTGAAGATCAATTCTTACAAGGATCTCCACGGGTCTCAAATATGGACTGACTGACTGAGTTTAGTTTTACGCCGCTTTTAGCAATTTTCCAGCAATATCACGGCGGGGGACACCAGAAATGGGCTTAACACATTGTGCCCATGTGGGGAATCGAACCCGGGCCTTCGGCGTGACGAGCCAACGCTTTAACCACTAGGCTACCCCACCGCCCCTCTCAAATATGGAAAGAGTTTTGAAATTGTTATTTCTATGTAGCATTAACCTGTAAAAAATAACAGAAAATACATCTTCATTGAGTAGGTTTTCTAAAGAAGTTATGGATTCGTTCTCGGATAAAGAACATGTTTAACATTTACGTATATTATAGCATTGCTATTAACACATATGGAGAATCCTCGTCAAAAGAATTATGATTCATTAATTGTACTTGAGTTACCCGCAAATAGATTGTTGCATCAGTGATGTAATCATTTCAGATCATGAGCGCAATGAGTGCTTGGCCCGAGCTGACCACTTCTGGCAACGATGTGGGTCCCATCGAGAATTCCCTGTCACAGCCTACTACAAACCGAGGGCAGTGTCTAACACTGTACCCTGAATACATATGTATCGTATGAAAATATAAGGATATAGGACTCGTCTCAGTTTGTGGTTTGGTTGTTGCTGAAAATATCCTTCAAATGACAATGGTTGTCACACACACAAACACACATTCACAGGAATAATAATAGGATTATCAAGCAAATGAAGGTAGATCACCATGCTAGGGGACCTTGGAGATGTACAGTACTTTTGCTCCATCGAGCCTATCTAGATCTGAGTCAACACTTCAGCCGTACTCGAGTGTATTCTAATTTAGCCAGATATTAATGAACACTTATAACATATAACACTTAGAAAATCACGAGTATAATGATTTTATAACACTTTAACCCCCTTTGAAAATACAGCCACTAACAATCTGAGCTATGACTGTACTTTACCAATCTTAAAAGAACCCGCCGCCATATAGCTGGAATATTGATGAGAGCTGCGTCAAACAACAGACCAACCAACCAACCTAAAAGAACACACTTCTATCTGCAAATCATATATATATTTCAGACAACTAATTAAATGAAATTTAACACTTGTAAAAAAAAGTTTTTACTTTGAAATATTTAACCTTTGTGATGGAAAACTCAACACAGTAAAGAAGAACATGCTTGACCGTGATTCTTTCATTACAGGGGATACAAAACGGAGGATCCTCACCTTTCAATATTCTTGTGAGTGAGTGAGTTAAATTTGTTGTCACATCGGCAATATTTCAGCCATATCGTGACTAAATCAAGTTTTAGATTCATAATAATTAAAGGTAAATTATAGAAACCTGTCAGCGAAGTACAGTATAACATCATCCCTTCAGCTGTTGGCGTTTATATTTCAGTTTAGACAATCTAGATAAATTAAAATAACAGATATTCTCCGGCTAAACATAGTGGTATGTTTGAGTTTAGTGGAATGGTTTGGGACTTACGTACCCACACAGGAGGACAGCTTGGTTACCCCGTAACAAAATCAGAGCAAACAGGGATTCGAACCCCTGATCAGAAGTTTCTGGCACACCTAAAGGACGCTACTCTGCACAGTGATTGTGAAGCCCCAGGTGAAATGACATGCGGAAAAAAACGTGAATCTTTAGAATTGGACGAAATGTCACTTGCTGCCTTCAAACATGTACAATAGCTCGAACATAGAACAAGGTATTGTTCCTCAGAGACCATGAAGGCTTCATCCCACCAATTTTGAGACAGTTATGAATTCTTATTGGTGTGAAATTTAAGTAGTTTGCACTCCAGATCTTTTGACAAAATTTGCTTGTGAATTGCATGTACGGTCGTCGAAATTCAGGTAAAACATTGAAGTATTCTTTAAACAAAAACACAATAATGTTACAAATGAAATTTTTATTAGCATATGAACAAGAAAACCCAAGTTACAGTTACAATAAGCAATATTGGCAGATTTACGTAGCCGGAAATTATTCACAATGAAGCAGAAGAAACCAAAAGCCAAAAGAACATATGAACAATAACATTTTGATTATCTTACACATTTGGATGCCATTATCTGATAGTATTGTGTCAACGAATAATAAGTTCATCATATTTGTATATAGGACAAACGCTTCCCGTCTCTCCAATGATAATAAAGTCAAAGAAATATAACTGAAACCTCGCCATAGGTGTCAAGTGCTATTTCCGGCAGTCTCTTCCCATCTAGTGTCATCACGCCTAGTCCTCTGTTAAAAAAAAGAGAATTATTAATTGGGATAGAGATGGATGATGTCGGTGAACAGTGAAAGTTCGTTCGGCAGTGGGCGCTATTACCACTTTAACATTGCGACCTGCAAACAAATGGGTGTGTACAAAATGGAACAGAATGCATTCGGATGAGATTAACATATCAACCCCAACATAGTCAACTCCATTCTCTTCCCACAGAGGTTACTCCCGTCATATCTTCCTACGTAGGAAGATATGACAAGTTACCTCTGTGGGAAGAGAATGAGTCAACTCATTTGGACAGAAATAATCACTGGCACATATTACTGACACAAGTCATTCAACTACAAAACATTTGTTTTGCTCCTCCATGGAGGAAGAGTTTTTCTGTCATTGTTTGAACACTACTTTTGACCCAAACAACTCGAGATTCTGGGTTATCGCAGTCCCTTGCCATCTAAAGCATGAGTACGCATTGGGAACATGAATCGTATCTTAAGACAAGGTGTTTCGACTGGGACAATTTTATTCATATACTATACGAATCAGTCGATATCAGAAACACCGCTCAGTACAATTTGGGTTAAATCCATGGGACAAACCTGGATACAAAGACTGCATTTCAGCATTGCCTGTTGCTCTACTGGAAGATATGAGGTTGTTGGTTTGGTTCGAATATTCGAACTTTAAGAGAGCGGTTTGTAAATATTCTGCATAAAGGTTGAGTTCTGTAAGTTAATTGGACTTATTATTTTGCGTGATTTTAGTTTATGTTTGAATTGTAATTGCTCGGCTTACCTGTTAAACTGATATCCACCAGTATAAAGATCTCGGGTAGTGTGTGGGTAGCTGAAGGACTCCATGGTTCCTAATATTGTGGTCATATTTTAAGAATATATATCAGTTTTCCTTAATTATAGGTATCTGTGACGCTCCGGTTGCACAACTGTCTTTTGCTGACATGTTCTATATACTATATACGTATTACTACGGAATGATATTGTTATAGTAACAATGTTACTGAAACAATCAAATATGTAACTTTAAATCTCAACTAACTCACTGCAACATAACAATATGCAAGGCGTGGTATTTCAGTGTGCAATCAACCAAGAACACACGACAGGGGTATGTTATCAAACATTGGTTTATTGCTAGACTATTAATGGGTCATGCTCTCAAGATGGGCCAAACATTTGTTTTTACATATGATTGATTATGAAAATACATCTTAGGCAGATGGAGGTGTCTTATGTGCGCATAGGAATTACATGCTAGGGGCAGGTAACGCGTTAACAATAGATAATATCTGAAGTATAAAATCTGGACGAAGGACAGTGAAGTAACAAGAATATCTCAATTTGAGATATTAAAACTAGCATTTAACTGAAAAAATAGATGACTATTATAGGACAATACAGTACAAAAACGGGCTTTCGATCGCCAACAACTGAAGGTAGAGCACCATCATGCCTATGCAGATAGTAAAAGTAAAAGTAATATACGTCCCCATGAGCGGCAAATCGTGAATCAAGCTGTCAAAATCATATTTGACCGTACTCACTACTTAAATTCGGAATACAACCTCCTCCCTTCAGGCCGCCGCTACAAAGTTCCAATTGTGAAAACTAAGAGAGCCCGTACATCCTTTATTCCAAGTACCATATCTCTCTTAAACAAATGTGAAGATACCTAAATCAAAGAATTTATGTAAATATGTTTGGTATCTCTCTAATGTGTCAGTAGCTCTGCTGATGTTACACAAATTCCTGAAAAGGCATTAAAGTATGATTCTATTCTATTCTATTCTATGACACCTTGCGTGGTGAGCTACCTTCAGCTGCTGACAACCTATAGCCCGATAATATATTCTGTTCTTGAAAAAGGGTTTAGCATTTTACACTGATCTCAAACTAATTGAAAAATGAATCTGTGATAATCTAGCTGTTATTGTGTCCTTCGATGACAGCTTCTTAACTAGTATAAATGTATTTATTTTGAGTAAATGTTGTCGTCACGATATGGCTGAAATATTGCCGATGTGACGTTAAACTTTCACTCGCACTCTCACCGACATCATGTTCATTGCGTCCTATACCCAGAACTTCAGTGATAACTTTAGAAGTATATTTCGCTCCACTGCTCTTGTATCTTCACCTTGAGTATGTATTTCCTTTACATTATTCATAATAGTTTCTGCAAATGGACCACTAAATTTTACGCTGTCGTGTAATCGGAAAACCCTGGTACCACGAATCATATATAAAACAGATGAATGATAATGGGTAACTCTAACTTAAATGTCTTACTTCCTGTTTTCAGGACGGTAGTAAATAGTCCCACGATGAACCACAAAGTACTCGTGTATTGGAACTTGACGCAGAATTTTGTATTCCGTATTCTGTTGGTTTTCTTCCAATCCCCATTCGGACCATGGTGTCATGTAGAGTATTTTGTCTGAAAATTGTGTTAGTTTGTTGGAATGTAAAGTTGTTATCTTTGCTGTGGTGAGTTGTCAATATATACTTCTCATCAACAGTTTAGACTCACTGATGTAAATGTAGCCACTTACTTAAGCCAATTGTTCTAAACTAAATATTGCAAAATATACCATACTGTTTAAAGGTACTGTTTACACATGATCCGGTGTATTGTAAACAATTTCATAACGTTTGAAAAATTAATGTAATGAGTTCAATAAATGATAAAAATCAGTGAAAATTGCACATTCTTAAAACTTTACAACAAAACGCAGCTGTTCACATGCACATATAGTGAGTGTTTTAAGTGAGTGTAAACTTTTGATGGGTAGTATAATCCGCTCGTACATCCAACAAACGTTTACATTTTGGACAATGCTCCTGAAACCATAATCGTCGTCGTGAAGAGCTGAAACAATGTCGTTACAACGTTACATTTTGTCTTGCTGAACCAAAAAGGCTACGCAAGCGTTTACATGTATACAAAGAGTTAGCTGCAACCCTTTGGAACTATGCTCAGCTCCGATTTATCGTATACATAGCGACGTAAGTGCCTGGTTGTGGCTCTGGGTGTCCATCTGCCCGTGTGTGGCTACATATACCATCGAGAACTTTTCAGTGTTAACTCATGGGATACCATGAGAATTTATTTAGGAGATTGAGTCGTTGGCCAAATCCCCAAGTCACGCTTCAGGAACTCTGCCAGGTGCTTCCACAGATGTGGAATGCCATTCCACAAAACTTCTTCAGACGTTTGATTGGCTCTGTGAGGCACAGGTGTCAAGCATGCATCAATGCTCATGGTTGGCATACATGTTATTGACTGTGTGATTTTCATTTTGATCTCTCTCTAACTGTGACCTCAGTA